AATAAAGGGGTAAATAACGACCTGGCCTTAATTCTATTTCCATTTTTACCATTCAGAAACTTGCTTTATTCTATACGTAACAACTGTTAACTGTGAATGCCGCGGTATTATGGGTTGTGATGCCGTGCAGAATGAAGATATCCCAGTGTTCTAGAGGAACATTCCGACTCAATCTTCGGGGGTGAAATATATATTACCGAAGAAATACATATTGTTGCAGATTGCTGCTGGTTTCTAACTTGGCTTTCTCATCGACCCTGAAGACGAATGAACATTATCATGATAATTTTTTAGGATTTTTTCGTTTGTAAGCCGAGATTAACTGCGCTGATCACGTGATACCCTCTATCAGCAAAATTTGGCACTAACTTCGCCGAGATCACTCGGTCGGTATAGATCGCTTGCGGACTACAGGCCACGGAGTTTATTTGTTTGTATTACTTAAAGTGATTTCTGAGAATGTATCTAAATAGAAGGCCTCATCTCTTGCTCATTCATCTCTTTGGGTTCCCAGGTCATAATCATCCCTGTATATATTAGCCAATTCTGTAACTGAAACGGGTAAAACATTATAAAATAACCTAATAACTTTATGAATTTTACTCTTCTCCTCAATACTGTGTTGAAATTACTTTTGATTTATGAATTCTTCAAGTTCCTTTCAATATAGATTTATATAACTGCAAAGTGTATTTATGTCTATATATGTGTGTGTGTGTGTGTGTGTGTTCCACCAAGCTGAATGAAAAATCAGCAGAATTAATAGGAAATTCTCTTCTGGCTATCCAGTGTCATTTGTACAATTAGCTTCCCGTGCTAGGGTCAAAATGGCGGTTACATCAGTATTGCATTAAAGATGCCTCGATTCAGCACCACCCCGGATATATGGAAGAATAACCCAAGTATAAATAATGGCGCCAAAGAATGAAAACAGATGAACACGTATATTCACACACAAGAAGTATGAGTACTGTTTCAGGAAAGAAAAAGATGGGAAGTAATTTTAAATAAAACATCATCCAGAAGCCCTGAAAAGAAACACAAAGAACAAGAATATGTATTAGGATGTTTGTTTCCAAAATGTACCATCGCTCGGCTCTCGAGCGTGCTTCAGTAGAACATCTATTTACAAACTCTGTGAAATGCAAATGAACATGTGTTCATGTATAATAAACCTAATGAATTTCATAAATGCACCTTATTTCACATAACGATACTTTAAATTCATAAAGAAATTATGTATGTGTTTTACAGATAGTTTTAAAAGTTCTCCTAGATGGCTCCACTAGCCTATGTCTGTTAGAAGAGATGTTTTTAATGTAAGCAGTGTACGAGGCGGAGGCGTATTGGGCTTGTGGCTTTTTTTTTTACTGCCAGCTCTAATAAATCAGAACCATGTATTACTGTCCAGATATCAGCTCTTTACGGGCAGGAGTGAAAGCCGAAATTCACAAAACTCCAAAATGCCGGCAGAAGAAGACAAAATGAATTGGCCGATTGCTGCATGTGAACAAGGATATTGGTTAGGTAATGGACGAATGCGTACGTAAAGGAAGTATTGGGGGGGGGGGGAATTCGTGTTTTGGAAATATATTCTACTAGCCCCAGGCTCGAAACAGTATGTATCCGGAATCCACCCTGAGAGGAAAACTTTGGTTAACAACATCAAAGGGAGCTTCTCCAAGCAGCAGTAGCCTTACAGAATAATCCTCAACCCCATACACTACAGGGGCAGCGGTACTTGGAAACGTATATGATCAAAGATGTGTATTATGATATTACACCAGACAAATCTAATCTAATAAATTACTCAGACTACACGTTACAAAGCATTCAAACAAGCAGTATAAAACAGTTTTTGTGACTTGTTACCTACCTACTGCATTTCGACGTACAAAAGGCGCTCTATAGCTGAAAAACAAACCGTGTCTTCAAGTTGAAGGTAAAATTTACATGCTTTAAATCACTATATAAATGAATAAACAATTTTAATTTAATTTGAATTAAATTACATAGGAGCACAAGTTCAAACAAGAGACTAAACACAGTTTATGTGACGGAATTTCTACCGTTTTTGGCATGCATCTTAATTATGTAAGACATGTGAAACAGAGTGGATGCATGTGTGCATCTTCACAGAGCCGCTACACTATTCAGAGATGTACTATTTAGAGAAATGCTACCGCATCGTATTAGTTTGACTGTGGTTTCATAATCTCCATTATGGAAATATCAAATCGAAATGTACAACCAACGCGAAAGGATTTATTTTCTATTCAAAAAGCAGTATTAAGAATCTGCTGGATGTCTTTTAAATCTTATATCATATTTCAGAATGACTACTTTTCAAATACGCATAAGTTTCATTGAAAGGCTTGAGTTCGTTCTGTAAAGTAAACCTAGACAACTTAGAATGCCGTCTTCTGGGATGTGGCGCCGTGTACATCTAGGGTAAACCGACGTTACGGCGCCACATCCTAGAAGACGGCATTCTACATAGTCACCGCCGTGAAAACCTCAGGTCTTACCTAAACAATTTATTTTGTGGTATGGTCTATGACACTAAATTCGCAAATAAATTAGGTACATGATCCTCAGTTACATTTGACAGTACCCCGTAGGTGGCTCACGTCTGCCTCCATCTATAGAAAACTGATTCTAGAGCACCATACCTAAGATAATGATGGATTTTGTGTATAAAGGTAAAAAAAAATTAAATCTATCCCTGTAACAGACCGTGGAAGCCCATAGGGTTTTGAGACGTCGAGGCTCCCCAATTTTGTCCAGAAAATCGCCCTTTACCACCAGGAAGATTCCTGGTAATTATTTCTGTTAGATGCTGAGTCGACCCCAGGGCCATAGTGCGGCTGGAAGGATTAGATAAACTGAAAACAAATTCACCCCATCGGGACTCGAATCCGCGACCATCCAGCTTGTAGCATAATGCTTCCACAAACTATGCTACCGCCTGCCGTGTGTGGTCGTCCACAAAGCAAGGCACATCTTTCATTTGGATATATTTATACTACAGATCTGTAATCTTCTTGGCTCTCAAAAAACACTTTAAAAAACGAAATAAAAAATGTGATTACAGCTGTGTCGTTTTAATCAGAGATACCTCAATACACTGAAATGGAACGCCTTTATATACCGACCGTAATCATAAGCATAATAATAAATCAATAAAGGCAAGTTATGAGATATAAACGAACAAACTTTGTTCTTTGAAATGGGAGTCTTTACTTGAGGCATATGGCAATCGTGAGTAATAGAACAAGAATGGATGGCTTTAACATGAACAAAAACGACAAGCAATTTCATAGAAAGCCTAATCAAAGAAATGGGAACTCATGATACAGTCATGCTAAAAGCTGTACAATTCTTGAGGGCAAAATAAAATGAAAACTGGAAGTTGAAACATAGAGGGGTTAGAAATGTTGGCATTATCAATATAAGGAGGGCCGGCCTCCTAATGGAATGGAAATACAGAGGATATGTGACGCTAGTGCCATTAATATCTTTGCTACCCTAAACGTGAGTTAAGCGTTCAATACACATGGAACAGAAGAACGAAAGGGAACCGTGAAGCACAGGACATTTTATTAAGCGTTTTCTTTTACACAGAGATAATTAAAATGTGATATTTTTGTTACATTTTTAATTTAAAGTTAAATTGGATGATATAGTTTCATAGCAGGACACGTGATCTCTGGATTTTCAGCAAAATGTGGTGGGGGGGGGTTGGCGTGTACAATTAAAACGAAGGTAAGGTAACGCCGACATGAAACTTCAGGAACTAACGACAGGTATCATATTTTAATGTGGAAATGAAACCCGAGTTAAATTAAAAATAATGAGGGGTCAGGACGACCGTAAGAAGTGTCAAGGGATGTGTCACTTTAAACAAAATTATAAATGAAGACAAGGTATAGGAATACGGCTAAGTATGGATTCAGTGAATGGAGAAAGAAAGGTTCTTTATATGGAAGGATGGCAATAGAATCATACGGCTTCTTTTTCCGTACAGAACAAAGGGTTAGGCCTACGTAGATATAAAACAGACCTATCGCTCATGACTATAAAACGGATTATGCTTAAGTGTAGACCGAAAATTGCACGCGATTAGGCCTACTCTAGAGTGTCAACTTGAAAATTAACGTGTCAAAACAGATTTAATTTTAACACTTTGAAGCCTAAAATGATCTCAGTAATATAGTTTTAACACAAGAAGCTCTGGGAAGAAATAATAGGTCTGCCAGGTAAGCTGCGGTTGGCCTCGCCAGCACAGTCATTTTTGGTTCCGAGTCCCTGCATCCCTTTATATGGGTCTGGTTATATATATATATCCTACAGTATATATTATATATAATATGTGAAAGGTTTCGTCAGTAAGTGTCTAAACTAACTACGTAATTAACGAGCTCTTCTTGAGAAGACCCCAGTTGTGCAGCTATTCAAGAATTTCCCAACATTTTATGGAACCAGAAAGCTCATTACCGCGTTCACAAGGGCCATCAACTGGTCCATATCACCCCATCCTATCTCTCTAAGATCCATTTTAATATAATCTAGTTAATAAGTATCTCATTTAATAAATACTATATACGGTCGCCAGAACCAGACACACTCTAATACAATCAGCTTCTAGGCTAAACAAAATACATCACTGTCGGTTTTATTTCAATTCTTTGTCGAATATATCGTTGTAGTAGGAAATAGGGTAAGCTGCCCTCAACTATTAGGTAGGCCGCACACCGGTCTGAGTCATGATGCTGACGTCAGCTTCATGCTGACGAATCACGAATGATGCGTCTTTTGTCTCATGTCTTTATGCTTGTCTTGACGCATTTGGTTTGCGGCCGCCCTCAGTCATCGGAGTCTCCATTCACAGAGGCTTCGAAAGAGCTTAGCGAATCGGCAGTAGAGTGGACAGGAGTCAACCAATGCAAAACAGACCTCTCTCCCGCAGGACGCATCCTGCACTGCATGTGAGTACTCACCGAGCATTCTGAGGGCCCACGGACTTGGCCTCGTACGACGAACTTGCTGTGATGGCGGTGTCCGGAATTCGTCCTTCTTCCATACCCAACGCAGCCCGACACTCTCCTGAAACATTACAAATTTGATCACACACGTCGCTTTTGAAAATGAAATTCCACAGAACCCGAGACACCGCAAGTTTCTGTTTGTACTTAATTTGAAAACTGGTTGCAGAATTAATTTTAGCGCCTGTTTTTCTTTCATAAGACATATAAAGCACATAAATAAACAAATTAAGGACACAGAGACAAAAAGGCGATCTCATAAGCCTCCAAATAAAAATTAAGAGGGGACACAGTCAGACAGACGGCAAAGTAATCTTCTAAGCCCTATAATCCTAAAAATTATGGGGATATACAGACAGATGGGCAGAAACAGGAAGATACACAGAGAGACAGACAGATATACAGAAATTAATACATAGACAGACATCAAGGTAACCACATAAGCCTCCTTTTATTTTTTCAAAATAAGGAAACTAGGCTACAAATGCGGTATATTTCTGGGTTTGTGTCAACAGAGAAGGAAGACGTAAATCGCACAGAAGGAATGCAGTTTATTGCTGAGGATTGCTCATACTGTTCTTCACTTTGCTCTTCTTACGATGTTTCGAAGGTACATGATACTTCCATCTTCAGGATCGAAATGAATTAAACTGAGAACTGTTTATGTATATACTCGTACAGGGGTTTAGTTCAACAGATAAAATGGGGAAAACTTGGAAGGGCGAAAGCTTGGAAACACCACCTGTTGATGGTTTTTTCTGCATTTCGTGGCTCTGCTACGGGCCGTTTTACAACACCTTCCTACCTACAGTCCCTAATGACCCTGACTGGGTAGTATGCTCCACAGATCATAAAAGAAATGAAGATAGTTTGAGTAGAACTCACCGTCCTCTCGTCAGAGAGGGTGCCCAAAGTGAATAGGACAGTAACAGTCAAACAGAAACTAACATCCGGTGATGAGCCCCAGAAGGGGCTGGACACCAAGACAGACAGACTGACTGCCCGTAAATTGACTTTGACTTTAAGGCAGAAAGCAAACATAATATCCAAACTAAAACCCAACAAAAATGTCGCCTTTCCACAGCACAGGAGGGCAGTCAACTTATAGATACAATGGGCAGCGTAATGGGGGAAGAGAAAAACACTCTTTTAACTCCAGCACTACCTTGCCACATTCCTGAGTACAGTTTACCTTCATACCGGGTTGATATACGGCACTACAAGTACTGCACTTCACAGAATATGTTACTGACAAGCTCAATGGGCATGCATGTACTGCAGCCATATTCCGTGACGTGTACAAAGCATAGGGCAACGGTCTGGACAACAGAGCTCATATACAAGCTACACGCAGCTGGAATACCGGACTCCAGTCTTCTTCTTCTTCTTCTTCTTCTTCTTCTTCTTCTTCTTCTAGCATAATATCTTACTGATCGCAAGTTTAGAGCCAAAATGAAAGGAATATTTTCCGGCTGGAAACCAATAAGTGCAGGCGTGCCCCCAGGGCGCCGTCCTGGCTCCCTTACTATATAGTATACGTAGTATATGTAGCACATAGAGCTACTAGAAGATCGGGAATAGACAAGTCGCAGACAACACAGCAGCATACACATCCAATACAAACATCAATTACGCAGTTAACAAACTGCAGAGGTATATACAAATCTGCTCTTAAATCATGGCTATACACATGGGAAATAATAATTACTGCAATAATATTCATGAAAAGGAGGCAAGTGGCCATAAATAGGCTAAAACCATTCGAACAAGAACGGCAGAAGCGAAATACTTGGGCATATACCTCGAAAGGAGCTGGACATGGAAAGTTCACGTTAAAGCTATGGAAAATAAAGCAATGAAATGTTTTGTGTCGCTCTACTCCATCTTTAAATGTCCAGCTCATAACAGGAAATTATTTATACAAATCACTAATGTCCCATTCTACTGTATGGAGTTCCCGCATTGAGCTGTGAGGCCACAAGCAATATGAAGAGGTTGCAAGTCATTCAGAACAAAATTAACCAGAGCATCTATGACGGGGAGAGGAGTGCCTCAAACATATCAATCCACATAGCGCTAGGAATCACATCCTAAAATGAAGAGATTAAAAGAGCATCCTCGTAGCGTAGGTGGTTAAGGCACTCTGTTACAAGCCGGAATGTCGCAGGCTCAAGTCCCGACGACGTGAATATTGTTCAGTTTACCTAATCCTTCCAGTCGCATTATGGCCCTGAGGTCCACTCAGCCTCTAAGAGAAATGAGTACCAGGAATCTTACTGGAGGTANATTTACCTAATCCTGAGGTCGACTCAGCCTCTAAGAGAAATGAGTACCAGAAATCTTACTGGGGGTAAAGGGCGGCCTGCCGGCGCGTAAGACTGACAATATCACAGTCATCTGTGAGCAGACTATCAAAACAAAATGTGGGAGCCTCGACGTCTTACAACCCTATGGTCCTCCACGGCCTGTTAGATGGATAGCTTTACTTTTTTGTCTTTATCCTCAAAGCTATATAAACGCATCAGCCAACACGACAACCCGATCATAGAGGTACTAGGATATTATGACATCCACATGTACTACTCCTACACGAGGCCGAAGGGACCTTACGTTTACAGACCACACATGCAGACTACCTACCAGTGACGCACAACTGTTGCAGTGGCAGCTTACAGCAATAGCAACACCAGAGTGGACCTATCTGAAAAGCCAGGGTCCCCTGACTGACTGATGATTGTATAACTACACAGCATAATCCAGCCGAAGAACTTTATATGGGCCCAGTCGAAGGTAAGTTACAGCAGAAGAAACAAAACTAGTCAGATAACGTTGAAAGGACGAATAACATCAGACACCCGGAATATTTGAACAAGAAGTGTTTTAATGAAGACATATCATACATCGTGACCAACGACAGAGATGTGTTAGTGACCTAATTTGGAACATGAGTACCCACCGAAATTCAAACATGAATACGAAAATCACTCAAATAAAGCGCGGCCGGCGCGTAAGGCTGACAAAACCTTACCGCCATCTTTGAGCCGATTGTCTAGACAGTGTGGGACCCCCAAAGTCTCACAACCCTATGGGCCTTCACGGCCTGTTACAGGGATAGCTTTGCTTTACTTTACTTAACTTTACTTTACTTACTCTACAATTACACTGTTAAGCGGAATATATTGTGGCGTGCTTCCTAAAAGCCGGACTATATGACGTCCATTGCTGCGCAACGGCTGCAATGGGAACGCATATATAAGCGGCAACAAATACATGGAAAGACAAACACCTAGACAACAGAGACTAGATTCTTGAGTTCCCACGGCAGCGAATATACCAGCTAACAAATATTCTAGCCAACGTGCGAAAGAGAACCCTTCGACAAGCTGTTCTCTCAGCGGTACGCGAAGAGCTATTTAAGAGGGTAGAAGATAAGAGAGCCCCGTGTGGAGGCGGGGTCGAATACCTCCACCGTGACCCTTCAAGTCGTAGGAGGCGACGAAAAGGGAAGTCTCAAATCTGAGACAGTAAAATATGGTCGCGAGTCTCAAGGGACTCGAACCCGAGAAAGACTGCGCTGGCAAGGGCCAGCAGCATATATAGAAGACAGACCCGTCCTCTCGTCAGAGAGGGCGCCACATAAAAGCAAGACCGTAAATGTCGAACAGTAATAAATATCCGGTCATGAGCCCCAGGTGGGGCTCGACACCAAGACTTACTGACTGACTGACCGTCAGTCGCAATGTGACTTCGACTTCGACTTCGAGAGCAGTTTAGTTCAGATCCGACGAGAGATACGGGAAGAACCAAAAGCAAAGGCACTTCACTGAGAAGAGCGGCGCAAAAGTGTACCCGTTGCAGAGGAAACGCGAAGAGACGACGGACTAATCAGGTCAATTCGTCTGAAAGGTGTTATTTGATAGTGATTTTAATTGTGAGTGTAAACGAGTAATTCTCCATTAATAATTAATTATTATTATTAATTATTAATTATTTGTCACGGAACCCCGGACAAGTGGCAATATCTTCAAGAACACTTGACGCCCACACAGTATTACAGGAGCGCAATTAGGCACCAGTTTCAGGGACAACTGAATTAAGTTTCAAATGTTGCAGCGTGCTCACCTCTTATCACAAGAATGGGAGATGGACCTTTTTTTTCGAAATCCACACAAATTTAAAGCGAAAATATGCATTTCATCTTTCGCTTTTCTTCTTGGCTACTTCACGACACTGCCAGTAGCTAGACCACATAGCGTCGAATGGAAGGACAACAAACGAATGATGAGCTGAAAAATGTATGAAAGGAAGCGGCCGTGGCCTAATTAAAGTTATATCTCAGTATTGTGACGTATAACCCGTTTTAAGCAATGACCCTGTAAACAACGTCCGATGCTACCTAACGCCCGCAGCAATAGAATGGTGTTTTCTACATGGTCCTCGCCGCTACCGTTGCTATGCAGGGCGCGGTAAACACGCCTCTATAGCAATATAGGGGCTGTATTCTGCGTGGTCCGTGCCGAGGAGTTCTCTTGAAGGCAACTGGCGCCACAGTGCAGTTGAGAGTTCAGATGTGGAGTGTTAACCAGCGGGCAACGGCGTTACAACGGAAGCTGAAGAACTCCCATTGACAATATTCGTTACCAGGAAACGTCTGGTGTAAATATTGCGGAGAAACAGGCATTGTTCACAGCTGTTACGAAGCAACGACCAGTGAAAGCACACTGAAAAGACGTAGCGTGGAGTGATTTGTAGTGTGGATATCAGCAATAGTGTTATAGTTATTTGTGGTTACGACCTGAAAGTGGCCAATAAATCTATTCACCAATCCAAACCCCGTCTACAGTCATCCCCAAGTTGTGATATTATACCTGAGAGAGGGAGGGAAATTAGGAAAAAAATCTTTTGTCAGGTTAGCCAGTGGTCCAACCGAGACCTTAACCAAGTACCACCCGAAAAGAGTCTGGAACGTTACCACTATACCAACCCGCTCGGCCATTTTATCTTTCAAAGAACCAACTGTTCCTGGTATAATGAAAATAAACACACGCACTAGCTGTACCT